TACTGAGTGGATCTGATTAATGACTGTTACTTACAAAGTAACTGTACTTTAAACTGTTTTATTTTGATAAGCCTTTCTTTGTCCATTAATACCTAGGAATGCCTCAAGCAGGACTATACCTGAAAGGAGGTAAATACTGTCACAAAGTGCATCTTCCTGTAATAAAGTGTAAAGCGTGTCTCAACCCCAAAATATAATTTTTATAAATTGCAGCTTACCAGTCCTTAGATGTGGTGGCTGCATTTGTTTTTTGAAGCTTTTTTTCTTTTAGAGGAGAATGCAGAGTAACAGCAAGATGAGCTCATCACTGCACTGCTTCTCCTTCACTGACCAGTCACAGGCTGGGGACGGGTCCATGGCAGTCTGGGCTCAGCGGATGTGGGTGATTTAATGCTGGCTATCATTCAACCAGAAAGTGTAAGGACAACTAGTGGCGGAAAATAATTACTGTGACAGATTGAAGGTTAGTATTACTTCAAAGGCTGTTATTTTAATTGTATCTTTTATTGAGCTATTCATTTTTGCCGGACTGGATTTTTGCTTTAAAAATTACTAACATTTGCTATCCCGTTCAGCAAGTCAATTATAAAAAAAGAAAAATACTCAAAAGGACAAGAAGAAATGAATACAGAGTGTAATAAACAACTACCCAAACCATTATAATGGTATAATTCAGTGTAGTGAATATTTTTTCTTCACTGACCTTATATAAGAATTTAGGCAGGAAAACACTGACTTGTGGCTATTGAGACCTCACGGACACACAATAAGCACCCATTGGCCACACACAGCCCTCTGGACCCAGGTTGGGCACCGTGGGGTTAGATGTATTGTGTGGGATGTCATCAGAGGCCACTTGATGAGGTGCTATTTTAATTAATAGTGAAGATAATGCCCAACATGTGATCAAGGAATGAGTCTGTAAGTATCACAAGATGAAGCATGCATTCGCAAGTGGTTGGGGAGGTGAACAGTAGGTAACAATTACACCTTTTATAATCGTGACACATATTAATTATTACACACATTTTTCTTGAGTTGGACATCTCTTTAATATAGGTTTGTCTTTATCCATCACTTTGCCTTGGCAAATATATTACTATTATACCTTTGAAAACAGCAAAAAGTCAATCCTCTCTGTCTCTGATGGCTTTCCATATGCTAAATTAAAATCAGCATGCTGTGAAGGTGTGCTAATATTATACACTTATGGTTTACTAAATGAGTAGATATGAAGCAACAAGACACCTTTACTCCTTGCCTTTACAGTATGGAAATTTCCATACAAAACAATTATTGCTGTCTCTTCAAGTAGAACATATACAGTATTTTATTTTGATATGACGTCTAAGGGAGAAATAATTCTGGGTATATTATTATCCCAGAGAACTGCTTTAATGAGACAGAAAGTTAACTTTAATGAGATGGCACATCTAAACATTTTAGAGTTTTCACCAAAACAGCAGGTAAGGGAAAATCCTCCAACAGGGATACCTATACATGTAACAATTCTCTGTGATGGGAGTTCCATTCACTTTAAAGAGATTTCAAATTATCGACTGTTTTGTGTCCAGGGCAAAAAGTGAAGGGAAATCTCCTTAGCAGGGCTTTATATACATTTCCAAGCTAGTTATTGTGTAAGCTAACACTTACAGGCGTTTATTACCTCTCACAGAGATTGCAGCACTCGGGGACAGACCTACCTCTGGTGCGACTGCACCAGGGTCCAAGGCTTAGGGGGGGCCCCATTTTAGGAGGCATGGTTTACATTTTTAAATTGAAGAGGCTGCCTTAAGGTCCCACGCTTGCTGGGCACCTCATGGCAGCCTTCTGGGGAACCATGCGGCGACTGTTTACAGCGCGGGCCTGCACATTTTCCCCTCTTGAGACCTTCCACAACCCCTCCTGAGATCCTCTGAAACCTGTCCTGAGACCCTCCACAGCCTTCATAAGTGTCAGGGTAACGCGCACGTGTGTCCCCACACCGCATGCAGGTACCCACGCAGATAGACCAAATTAGTGTGACCACACTGGATGAGGTTATGCACAAGGTTTAATTGTTACACAGCAAACAAAACTACAAACCCCATCAACCCCCACAGGTTAGCAGTGAAGTAACAAAAACATGGTTGGAACAAACACACCTACAGCCAGCGGCAACAGAAAACGGGAAAAAGGCTAGGGACTGCAGATAGATAGCAGGGTTCAGGATACAGGAAGAGGGGTCAGGTAACAAGCTGGGTCGTTAACAGGAGGGCAGCGTGGTACAGGAACAGGATCCAAGAAGAGTGGTCAGGTAACAGGCCGGGTCAGTGACGGGTTTGCAGGGTTCAGGTAGCAGGGTTCAGGTAGCAGGGTTCAGGTAGCAGGGTTACAGGACACGGGAGTCAGTCAGGGGCAGGCGACGCAATACTGAGCCAGCTTCCTGACTGCAGGGAGGGCCTATATATCCTCCCAGGAAGCACCAGGTGATGGCATTATCACTCACAGCTGGGGCACACCTGCAGGTGAGTACTGGAGCTGCAGGTACCAGCACCACCCAGTGGTGGTCTGGTTCCTGACAGTTCCTGGCTGCTGGAGACACCTGCAGGCGAGCACAGGAACTGCAGGACCTGGCTCCAGCGCCACCTGGGGGTGCTCTGGATCCTGGCAGGTTCCTGACAGCTCCTGGCTGCTGGAGACACCCGCAGGCGAGCACAGGAACTGCAGGACCTGGCTCCAGTGCCACCTGGGGGTGCTCTGGATCCTGACAGTAAGACAATCTGGACCCCTTCTGAGACCCTCTACAGCCTTACTGAGACTTTCCTGAGACCATCTGCCTGAGATATAAGGCCGGCACCCCAGAGCAGAGCGGCAGCACAGAGTATATAGAAAATTCATATACTATTATTCTGCATTGCTGTATAATGTATTGCTGGGATTTGTAGTCCTCAATAGCTGATTGTATTATTCTGAATTGCTGAATTATTCTGAATTGCTGTAAAATGCATTGCTGAGATTTGTAGTCCTCAATAGCTGGTGGTATTCTGCATTGCTATATAATGTATTGCTGAGATTTGCAGTCCCTCTACAGCTTGGAGTCAGTGGGAGAACTACCACGGGCACCATGATCGCAGCTGCAACCGTGCCTTGGCGCTCCACCACTGTCCTAAAATCGTAAGTATATGTTGTTTTAGAAAAAAACTGTCACATGATGTTTCATGACCTGCCCAAGGTGCTCGGCTTTCTGCCAATCCGCTCTTAACCTTTGTATTAAATGACCAGCGCACTTGTTGCTCGGTGTTTGAGCAATGTGTCTTAAAGGAAAACTATGAGGTGAGTGCTTTTCACTCACCTCATAGTTCTAGCTGACCTGTGACAATTAAACTGTTCCGAAACCGCTCCGATCAGCCAGCGTGAACTCTTTGCACCTGTGCTTTACCTGTCCTGCTCAGTCCTGCTCCTGTGTGGCTACTTGTTTCTTTGAGGCTGCTTCTGCAGAGAATTCCAGATTAAAAAAAAAACCTATTTAGTTTTTTTCATTTTAGGGCATACAGGCATGACTGCCCTTTGTTTGCAGCATGTCACCTCATACTTGGGCAGTAAAGCACCACATATTTATCCCCTTCATTGCCATTTCTGTCAGTAAATTTAGACAAGCCTGAAGCTACAGGCAAAGGTTTTGCACATGGAGGTGGTAGGGAGCGAGCAGGTTCTGCAGGCAAAACCTTTTGTCGGGATGTAACACCTAGAGGCAGGGCATGTCTGCATTTTCTATCTCAGAGTAGCCATACAGCTACAGCATGCATATAAGGTAGTTGAGTGGCTGAAAAACCATTCCTCTTCTTCCTCCTCCCAGATACAGAGCAGCCAGTTGTCTGTAACTGCTGCTAATGGGCACTCTTCGTCCTCCGATTCCTGTTCTCCTTTTCTGATAACCCCACCATAGGCTTTTAAATTAGCAATGAGAAATTGGCACAATTATTTGATCACACAATTACTGATTTGCTGCAGCCTCCAGTGCACATGTGTCAAACACAAGGCCTGTGGGCTGATTCTGGCCCACCAGGCCATTTTATGTGGCACTCGCACCTCTCCTGCAGTTGTGGAACCCCTTTGTCTCCGCCCCAACCTTGTCTCAGCAGTTGACAGCAGAGAGGAGGACTGAACTTCTCCTACAGATCCTGCAGCTCTCTGTGCAGCCGCAGCACCCCCTTGTCTCCGCCTTCCCTGGTCTCAGCATTCAGAAGGCTCTGGCAGCTGATTCAAACCCTCCTCTGGTCCTCCTCCAGACCCTGCATTTTTTTGCTTCTCAGCTCAACCCCCAGGTTCTTCCCAGCAGCAGCACAAAGGTAAAGGGGGTCCACTGTGAGGTAAAGAAGGGTAGAGGACTCTTGACTTCTGGGGGGGGCTCGGGGTATAGGGTGCCCTGGACATCTGCTGATATGAGAATACAATTTTATGCCAGTTGAAATAGAGGGTCACACATTGCTGGTATCATCCACAAGAAACTTTATGGTTCTGCCTGAGAAGTCTCTAATAAAGTTAAACAGAATTATTGTAATTAACAGTGCTTGGTCATATTTGTCTGATGATTTAAAAAAATAACTTTCTGTTACCAAAACTACGTTTTCAATAAATTGTACAATAGTTGTACACTTGAATATCTGGTTGCCATTATTTTTCTTAGACTTCTTCTTTTAGAGCTAGTTATTGCTTAAGTTATTACTACTATTGCTTAAGTTATTAAAAAAAACAATAATAATTGAATTCGGAGGCAATTATTTAATATGATAACGAGTAGACACATTTACATAGTCTTACAGATACGAACGGTCCTTTAAGGGCAACCATAATGCTGATGCGGCCTGCGATTAAATTGTAACACCCCTATGACATGGAGGGAAGTCTCACAAGGAATTTCAAAGGCTTAGGATATGCCACGTCTAGCAGGGAAGAGGATCATGGGCCACGTTAAGGAGGGTCAAGCAAAAGCATGAACATCCACAGAATTCCAAAAGCATTCTTTCCAAGGCAGGTGTCTCTTCCACAGCTGCTGGGGTGGAAGAAAACATTTCTTAAAATGCCCCCATGTCCAGCATCTTAATGCAAGCCTGGCAAAGCTGCAGGCTTTGCAGCTGCTCGCATCCTAGCTGGTGGAATCAGCCTCCATGGCATGTGCTTCACTGCAGTTGCAGGTACCCAGACACTATTAGTTTTTCCAGAAGGCCATTTCTGCCCTTCACCAGCATGTGGGATGTAAGGTACAGTGGGGCAAAAAAGTATTTAGTCAGCCACCAAATGTGCAAGTTCTCCCACTTAAAAAGATGAGAGAGGGGTGTAATTGGCAGGTCTACAATTTTGTTTCTGGTGTCCTTCGACAGCTCTTTGGTCTTCACCATAGTGGAGTTTGGAGTGTGACTGTTTGAGGTTGTGGACAGGTGTCTTTTATACTGATAACAAGTTCAAACAGGAGCCATTGATACAGGTAATGAGTGCAGGAGAGAGGAGCCTCTTAAAGAAGAAGGTACAGGTCTGTGAGAGCCAGAACTCTTGCTTGTTTGTAGGTGACCAAATACTTATTTTCCACCATAATTTGCAAATAAATTTGTTCCAAATCAGCCAATGTGATTTCTCTGGATTTGTTTTCTCATTTTGTCTCTTATAGTTGAAGTCTACCTATGATGCCAATTACAGGCCTCTCTCATCTTTTTAAGTGGGAGAACTTGCACAATTGGTGGCTGACTAAATACTTTTTTGCCCAACTGTAACTGTGCCACTGGACCATGTTGCACTATTTTTTGTCACCTTTTGAAGAGGCAACAAAATGGTGAGCTGCGATGAGGTGGGGATTAGTGATAGAATCCGTGTTGTGTTTTCCTGTAGCGCACACTCCATGGCCTGATAGGCACAACAGCAGAAGGAAGAGAAGGACTTGGTGCTGTCTCAAGGCCAGCAGGATTCTTTGCCTACTGCCTCCATTCTTGTGAGCCAGAGGCAGCAAAAGCTGTAGGAAAAATACAAGGAGGAGGGTTGGGGTGCTGGTTATGAGGAGGAGGGAATGGAGCAGGCTTCAACTGGGATGTTTCACCCCTCCTAAAGCCTGGGAGTTGCATGTGGAGTGGCGGAGTTCACAGGAGTACGCCTCTGACTTGGGGTCCTTTTCTGCACACAGTTTGTTGGGAATAGGCCTAGAGCTGCAACAATTATTCGATTAAGTCGATTAAAATCGACGATGGAAAACGTTGCCAACGTTTTCCATCGTCGATTCGTTGGCTAAAATTCAAATTTCCCGCTTGCCGCTTTGCAATAATCGGCTAACTAATCGATTATGAAAATAATCGTTAGCTGCAGCCCTAGTATAGGGTATTTTATGCTAAAATGCCAGTGGAAGAACCCCCACATTGGGGTCAATTCACAAAGCTTTTTTTCCAGATTCCGCTCGTTATTTTATCGATTTCGCACGATATTGAAGCTTGTTCAATTCACCAAACGATTTAACGCTTTGAAAAATCATCAAATAACGTCTCACTTCATGGAACTGATATTTTAAGGTGTGGATCGTTATTAAACGTTTCGATCGTTGTTTTAGCAAGTCAAATCGTTAAATAAGTACAGAAGTGCAATGCACAAAGATTTTTGGGCCAGATATCGATCGTTAAACAATCGTTACATAAGCACCTCCCTCAGGGTGTCGTTATGACATTTCCCTGGCGGTATTTCTTTGTTAGAGGAAGCTTTTGGCGGTACATTCAGTTCTTCAGTTTTGTAGTGAAAGTGTTTGGTAGTTTGGGGCAAGATGGAACCATTTGGGTGTGCTCTATTTGAACTTAAAACTATCCAGAGGCGAAGAAGAACACGTCAGCATGTTGTTGTGATTTATAAACGTGTATTCCGTTCTCGCACTATTTTGGATGACTTTTCTGAAACCCAGGTGATAGCTAAATTCCGTTTAACATCTGCCATGATTCATTCTCTGTATGAGGAAATACACATGGCTTTAGAAAAACGCACACAGAGAAGTCATGCAGTAGTTATGCAGTACCAGGCCTTGTACTGCTCCCAGAATGCATCTCTGCTCCCAGAATGCATCTCTCAAGCGTTATTTTACGATCATAGACGTTATTAATTACGCTTTGGGACGTTTTGAGTTGTTAAAATATCATTCATATAAAATAAATTACGTTTCAAACGTTAGCATAACGATTGGATAACGAGTCAGTAGAAAACCATAACGACCATGTTGAATAGCCTTTGGCAGCTTTGTGAATAACCCCCTTAATAGTTGCTACAGGATAAATCTTGCACCGCAATTCTCCTTTCTTCTGTTTTGCTTTTAATGTGATCACATGGACTGCATATTAGATACAGGTGTTCCTAAGTGTTTCTCCCCACCCTGTGTGGTGTGCTATTTTAGTAGGGCTGGTGTTAGATCACAACCAGCTATGACTAAGGTGAAGTAAGGTAGAAATGTATCAGCGGTTGTTCTTTGTATAGATGCAAGTGGACTAAAGTTTGAATTTCTTTGGAAGATCATCGCGTTCTGGTTCTAGTTGTTGTGCCCATCACTCCAGTTGCTACTGTCACTCAAATAATAAACCATAATGTTTATATCAAGATAAAGAGATAAAACCTGCCTTGTTTTCCCTCTTATAGTGCAGCCTAATGAAACTGCTTACATACTGTCCAGCCACTGAACAATATTTGTGGCTATTGTCTCTTAGATATTCTACTCTGTTTATTGTAATATAAAACCTGCCTCGTCTCTCCCTCTTTTACTGTGGTCTAATCAAGCTACTTACATACTGTCCAGCCACTGAACAATATTTGTGGATATTGTCTCTCAGAAAATACACTCAAGTTGAAATCAATTAGATTTGGGTTAATTTAAGACAAGTAAAATGTAAACTAAAATCAATTACACATTCAAAATATGTGAAGCCATAACACGGTGTCCTTGGTGCTGTCCATCAAAACCATACTGTTCCATAACAACACATATAGCTTAAAGGCTTCTTCCGAGCATGTATTAAAAGGACCTTCTCCCCACTGTATATTTTTTTAAATAACTTTTTTCTTTGTCAAATGTCCCCTATGACAGTCTCCAGCCACCTATACCCTTTATTTGACAATAGCTTGCTAATTAGCCTTGAAAATGGCCAGAGTTTAATATCAGAATTTGCCCCATATACAGTAGTATTTGCTGCTAAATTCAGGTTATGCAATTTTCAAACAGGATTTGAAGAACCTGCTGCACTGAATCTGGGCATATTCGCCTATTCTTATCTAAGGCTTTGTAAATATTTTATTTATTTATTTTTTATGGTCAGGACTAAACATTTTTATTTTTTTTTCCTTTTCTTTTTACATATATTATAAATTATATTGAGTATGTAGCCCCCATCATCTTCTGTGATGTGGATACTAGACATTTAGTGATTGCCAGTGCTGTAGTCTGGATTTATTGTGGCAGTTATCTGGTTAATTCCAGGTGTCTGGCATTGCCTGTACCCCCCTGGGCGGAGTGGGACTCTTTCATATTGTAGGACAGCCAATGAGAGGCACTGTAATGTATGTACAGTACAGCAGCCAATCACTGGGTTTCTCTCAGCCAGTGGTGCATGCTGGGATAGGGTACATATACTGGAGGGATTTGCCATGTGCTCCGACAAGCCGGGACCAGCCATGGAATAGGGCTGGGTGCTGTTCAGCCCGCCCCCCAGGCTAGGCCTGAGGCCTGGGGGTGGGCATGGGCTGGTGTGAGGGAAAGGTTTCCCTGAGGCCTCCAACATGGAGGAGACCTGTCTTGCTGTTTGATGAAGAGAACCGGACCAATGCTGGCTCTTGAAGTACCCTGGAACTAAGAGGACTTCAGGCGTATGGTCAGTGTCTTTCCTGCTTGAGGATCTGTATACATCCTGTTTACCTGCTGCTTCAGTTACCATCCGCTGCCTCCCCAGTGGATCTACTCTGATATGCCAACCAGGTCTGGTGAATCTGGAGCTCTTGTCGGTTACTCTGGAAGCTTAGAACCCCTATACCCTTCCCCCCAGTGAAGATGCTCAATAAACCGTTACTTTGCATTTTATTACTGGAGTGGACATCAGTTCGTGGGCACCAGAAGAAGGGCGGTTAGTGCTATTGGGTAGGCAGCTGAAGAACATACCCTAGACTGACTAGAGATGAACCGGGCAACCAGCGGCTCCTTTGGGGGTGAGCGCTACAAGTATAAGTATTTTGCATTTTTATCAAGCTGGTGGAATTCTCTCTCTTTATAACCTCTTGATAAAAGTCTATTGTTTACAGAGCTACGTAGCTTAAGCTGAAATCAACACAGAGCAGAATGACTCACAGCAGCGAGTTTCAGTCAAACAAAGCAGCCCTTCAAGGCATGCTGCTACTGCTGTGCTGCTGACTCACAGTGCCCTGGGAATTATTTGCATGTATTGTTTGTAAAATACATATAGTTAAAAAAAAGTATTTTAAAACCCCATAAAGTAAAAAAAAAAAAAGAAGTAAATTAAAACTGACCCTAAACCATTATAGTTTCCCTTTAAAGATTATTAATCTATGACAAGATGCATCATGGCATTATTGTGGATGTGTCTTTTTTTATAACTCCCTCTATGAATGTGTGTGCTTATATGAAAAAAACAAAAAGTGGCACGTTCCCTAAATCGTATCAGCCTTAGCAGCAAGCATACAAGGATGTGCACTATACAATGTGAGCATGTGGGCCTCCTTGCCTTGCTCATACCAACTCATATTCTCTACAGGCAGGTCCTTCAAGTGGGGTATGAAAAGTACTGGATCACACTTGATGAACCTCGCACAGTGGGTGGCCCTGTCGGCATCCTTCAATCAAGAAAATCTTCAGGTGAACAGTGACAGCAGCCAATCAGTTGCCATCACTGTTTGAGCATTCTGACACCGACACACCCGCCGCTGTCAGAATACAAAGGACACAGTGGGAGATTCGTCCATCCACACTCTTTAGCGTGGATGGAGGAATCCATTATATTTTTTAGTTCAGC